CCAGACACGTTTGGACTCAATGCAGTCCCACCGTTGGTGCTGATCTCTTTCCATTCCTTTCCTGCATCTGGAGCATTCTTCTGAGATTGGCATATTCCTTCGGCTCAGCCACTTGGCTGTCAGGACCGCCCTGTGCGATTGTAACCACGCCAAACTGGAAATCGAAAGTTCCCTGATATCCTTGGTTGTAATCAGCCTGTTGTGTTGTATTCCTGCCTGTCCTTCTGCTTTCCATCTGCTTTTCACTTCGAAAGCACTGCCGTAGCACTTGTCTGTACTGAGCAGCCTAACTTGGGTCTGTAATCCAAGATTTGACAGTCCTACTAGAGCCCGGGGATCTCCATCCCCAGTGATAAGGCACTGCCAACAACTAACTAACTGTTGTTAACCCCAGAGCCAACCTTAACTCCGGGTTCTTTTCACCATCAACAGAATTAACAACAAAACGCTGATATATCCTTTGATCGAGAAGGATACTGGTTTTCTCCATGTTTTGATCCCTGACCAGCCCTTTTTTCTTTTTTTTTCTTTTTCTTTTTTTTTTAAGCCCAGGTTGTTGTAGAGGCTGGATTACAGACATATGAGAGTCACCTTTAGACACTCGGCCATGTGGTACAGCCCCCCTAATCCTATGGGACTCCCTCCCAACCTACCTCTTTCGTAATTTCTCCCGACACACTCCTACTCTTACTATCCTACCTCTGTGTCCGCCACTCAGGATCGCCACCCTCCACCCTGGGGGTGACCTGACGAACCATGATTGTAGGTACCAGGGGTAACCTGAGTCCCACACACCCCACTCAGCCCTGATTGAAGCATATTTGAGCGAGCCTTGTCGCCCAGGTACTTCAGGTGCTAGGTACAAACGTTTCACTACAAGTCGCATAGGTGGACCTACTTTGCGTTCCTATCGTTGTGTACACAGTTGTTCTTACTGTTGTTTGGTTGTAAGGTTGTTCGCTGTGCACACTGTTGTCATCACTACTTGTTTCAAGTTGTTTGTTAATAGTAACCGGAGATAGGAGGCAGGCAAGCCAACCAGCCAACCATTCCCGTAGAGATCCCTATCGACACAGGAGCCCTAGCAGCATCGCCCATAGACTGTACTAAGTCTCACTCTCATCAACTGTTCCTCGTTCCATGGGCGATCTGTAGGGTCCTAGTTCAGACAGACATCGACCGTAGATTGTACTAAGTCTCACTCTCATCAACTGTTCGTGTTCCACGGGGAAGCTCTCCTATCGGGAGCCCTCATCGTAACCCCTCCCCTGCCTAATGGTTGACCCCCTCAGATCTCAAGCTAGCAACGAATCCCCCTACTCTTATCTTGCCCCAAGAAACCTACCAACACCGAGCACAGTCTGTACTAAGTCTCACTCTCATCAACCATTCCTGAATCTATGGGCGGTGTGCAGGTCAGACTCTGTTAATCCTGCATCCCACTACATAAGCGAGTTTGAACACACAACCTCATCCATGCAATCTACTAACGCGCGACCTCACGCCCTGTACTGTCTTTCGTTCGGAGTGCTAGATGTGCGGAAAGGGGCCCAGAAAAACAGCAAGATGGGGTGTGCCAAGGATTTTTGGAAATTGAGTGTGGGGACACAGACGGAACTGAAATCCCCCGTGTTGGTCCGACGAAGTATGTCGATCGTTTTTCGCGCGGCGCTAATTGCACGCGCGGAAGTTTGGCGTGAGAGGAGAGAGAAATACAAATTCAATCTAGAAAATATTGTCGGACTTCCCACCTGGCTACGGCCTGTCGTTTAGAACAAAAAGGCTTCAGCACGCTTCGCGTGTCTCGTTTCCGTATTAAGTCCCGTCGTCGTTCACTAACCAGTTCGGAATCCGACGTGGATGGTCTTAGTCGCGTGGCTCTTTCTCTATGTTCGTCCTCACTCCACATACGGTAGTGGAAACCCCTGGTTTCGTAGCGCTCAAAGTGCTGGCATTCGGTGCATAGAGTGCGCGGCCAGTGGGGCTCTAATGCTGTCCACGGGATGACTATCAACTCGTTGAATGGCAACAATATCGAGTAGGGAGGGAAGTGTGTATCAATAATGACAAACCCAACCTCTACAAACCCTGAACAGCAGTTTGCCGGAGGGAAGCAGTATCGTCCGCCGATCTATGCGACAGCTTCTCGAACGTCCCACTCGCATACACGTCCCACAACGGCGGGAGGCTGACGCCCAATCAAAGGGTGCTTGTCAGTCCACATATCAATCAATTGCAAAAATTCCGAGACGTCGTCAAGGGAAAACACTCGTGCAATCACTAATCAATCGTTTTCGTCACGAGAGAGAGAGAAAACACTCATTAGCTCGATCATGCATGTAACCGAGGGACCGTCCCGCGACTCAGTTTTTCGTAAGCCACCGCGGTGGTGATCCCAGGCGCCTTATTTCTCGAGGTTGCCCTGTAGATCGGCTGCAGATGTCGTGCAGCATAAGGCAGATGGCATGCGCAGTGCATTCAGAAATACAGATCTAAACACTCTTGCATTCTTGGACAAAATCCCGCCAAGTGCGGCGTCTAATCAATACGGAAAGGCAAGAATCTCCATACATACATTCAATGTGGAAGGTGCGAAAATGACGAGGGTACACGAGTCAGAAATCAACCGAGGGAATTGCACACACGCATCCACCGTTCACAGGACAAAAAGGATCAATTTCTCGACATCTGGGGATTACCCAGGAAACTAATGAAAGAGTTCCGGAAGAAGTTCTTTCACGCAGGAAAGCACACAGATTCATTCCCATCCAAGAAAGAGAGACAAACATCGGGACACATCATCATTCAAAGATCGGGAAGAGAGAGGGGGAGGTGAGGGAGGAGAGTCGAGATAGGGGATGACAAGATCCGAAAGAAGGAAGTTTGGCGTTATCGCCATGCACTCACGCCAGAGAAAAAGATCCGCAACAACAAAGGCACATTCGCTGTTAGTTCCAATATGGCCCCGGGCCAATCACTCACTCAACTCCAATCATCGATCCTCATACCCGCACCGACGATCCCGGCCGTCACGTGCTAACTCCCACCACTGCGATCGTCACCCCACTGACGTAAACTCGACGCGGTTCGCCCAGATCCCACAGTTCGTCGTGGCGATCAAGCGCGCAACCGGGCAGCCTATCGACAACCCGACACGACTTTCCGACTCGCATCAAACACTCTGCCTAGCCACTGCTTCCCGGAAGCTGGCTCAGGAGTCGAGAACGTAAGAGAGATTTGCGGGCGCGTTTGCGGAATTTATAGTGGCGAGAAGGGGGGCGAGGGAGAGAGAAGGCAGGGGGGAAGTCGAAGTGTAGGGAAAGAAGCAGGAGGAGAAGACTTTGAGAAGAGCGCTCTGTGGAAGCCATGTTGATCCTTTGAGACACAAGGTTCAACCAATCAGTTTCGTCGCGCAATAGGAGGATCCTATTGATCGACGTACCTGATTGGCGAGCGGGAGTTATCGAAGGATCGACCGGGCGTCGTGCGCTGAGTTCGGAGGATGAGAAGAAAAAGGCGCGAGAAGTAGCGCAAGACGGGTCCAAGATTCAGATGATTAAGAAAGGGAAAATGGGCGCGCAAAGAGTAGAGCGGGAGAGAGAGGGAGAGGAAGAAAAACAGTTACGAGGAGAGAGGAAGAGGAGGGGGAAGAAAAAAGGAGCGTGGGAGAGAGCGATGCGGGGGACAGAGAGGGGAAAGCTCTGCATGCGCGGCGCCGTCAACAACAAAAAGAAGAGAAAAAAAAAATCACCGAAACAGTTACAGTTTGCCTACCTCCTAAACCAATTCAAAATTGAAATCACCATATCCACGCGCGAAAGAGCGACGTGGGAAAAGAAAGTCCTACGCCTATTAGTATCCCCACAAAATTCCGAGAGTTTTCCCTCAACGCGACCGAGAACATTCACACACAAAAAGGACACGTCGAAGTTCCGCTTATCTCGGAATTCCCAACTATCGGGCCAAATTCCCAGTGCGCTCGCTAAGGCGCACGTAATTTCCTATGTATTTCCCGAAATGCAAAAAGAAAAAGCAGAACTCGGGAATCGTAAAAGCTTTCGAAAGATGGGGGCCCAAAACGCGGCACCCGAAATCAAGAAAACGAAACGGGGTTTTTATGGGGTGGTATGATACAAGCAAGAAGGGTACGAAAGATAGCACGGGTTCGGGAAGTAGTTCGTCACATATGTGACGCGCAGGGGGTTCCAAAATTATGCGATCTCCTGATTGCATGTCATAGCGGAGAAGGACAGAGAAAGAGAGAGAACCGAGTGATGAATGAGGAACCAAGCGTATCAACAAACGATCCAGCCAGAGTCCATGTTGACGCCATCTTCAATTGCAAACTTTTGTTGGCTCGTGCTGCTGGAATCATCGATGGTCGTCCAGGTGACGCCATCATCGTCCGCCGGTTCTCCGCGTGCTCTGCACCCCAATTTGTCGCTGCCCGTCGAATCAGAGCGTAGGTTGACGTCATCGTCGAAGGCGTGATCTTCGAGAAGCTTACTGATTCGTGTCGTTTTCCCTTGCTGATTAGATGAAGAGAGGAAAAGGGGGCGGGGGGGGGGAATAGTCACGTGATCGGGATCTACCTCCTAGTTGGAATGGGCCAGTAGAGGAGGTACATGGAGGGGATCTCACGGGGACGATGGGGAGGAAGTGGGGGTAAGTAGTGATTCATCCCTTCTACCGTCACCGAAAGCTCCTCATATCGGATGATCCAGTAGAAGCGAGGAAAGCGATCGCCACTATGAGGGAGGGGAGTGAGGTAATCGCGATAGAAGGAGGAGAGGGTGCAGAGGAGCGCGGCTCGAAAGGACTCGTAATGGCGACAAGCGGGGATTGTCCCCGTGGCTACGCAGTAAACTTCTACCACATTGCATTGCTCCCATGCAGCGCTGAACAACAGGATATGCCAGCAGAACGTGGGGGCAGCGGGTTGAAGGGAGGGGGGGGGGTAGACAGTAGCGAGTAGGCGGGTAGAGTAGAGATCACGGAAGAGATGGGGAAGGAACGGATGGAGGGGGAAGGTGACGAGGGTGCGGATCTGTTCAAGGGTGAGAAAGTCAAGGGGACGGCGGGATAGCGTCTGAGGACGAAGGCCTATCGCCCGCATCGGTACGTGGACGAACTGGGGGACGGGTTGGGGTGGAGGGGGAGGGGGATCGGCTTCGTCTCCGCCGCGAGGTGCTTGAGGCGGCGGCTGTGGGGTCGCCATCTTCGGGCTTTGGCGGTTCCGGATCCCTGGTCGGGTCGTCACCGATGCGCTGACTTCCCCTGCTGGCAAATTCTTGTTGGCGTTTCGCGGCGGCAACCTCTTCTTGCCTACGCACAGCCTCAGGGTCTTCCGCCTCCGTGCCCGTGCGCGCTGCTTCCTCCGGCAGGGCTTCCCACTCAGATCCGATTTCTTCTTCCTCCTCTTCTTCTTCACTCAGCTCGCCCTCGCTATACTCGCTATAGCTTCCCTCCTCTGACGTTTCCTCGTCGTCATCTTCTTCTTCGTCGTCTTCGATCACCACTTCCTCCTCCTTCGGATAGAAGGCGTGAGGGATGATGTCGTAAGGCTTCAGGTACTCCTGCCGTGATGGTAGAGTGTCTTCGTCCCTGGGCTCCTCCAAGCACGCAGTCCACTGAAGGTACGGATCCAATGACCGCTCGAGAACGTACAGAGCAGGGTTGTCATCACTTAGTGAATAGATGTCGGGCGAGAGATCGTCCGCCAATTGCACGATCGGCGCGATGAGCTCCTGCGCAATTAACAAACGGCGGCCCGGCTGTACCGATCCAAAGAGAAAGTCGAGAAGATCGCCCTGGACGTTAGTCCTCCAAGCTTGTATGATCAGCAGCTCCAAGTTTTCGATCCACGCAGGATGCTCGATGGTCCGCGTCCACATCACCTGTACTCGGGCCAAGCAGAAGGACAACTCGTCAAAAGTTTCGCGCCACAGTCGCCAATGCTCAGGATTAATGAGTGGGACAGAAAGAGGCTCGAACGAGAAGGAAAGACAAGGATGAAGGTCGGACTGCTAGAAGGTGGGGAAAAGAGAGGGGAAACCGAAGATGTAGAGAGGAGCGAGGGGATCGGCGTGGTTCATTGGGGACGTGGGAAAGGGACGAGGGTGGGGATCGCAACTGGCGGCTCGCGCGGAGAGCGGCGGATCTCGCCAAGATCCGGTGCAAAGGTCGGGATGCGGTTGTGCCCTGACCTGGCGAGGCCGTGCTGCCACACGTTAGACACTTGCTCCGTCCACTTTCGCAGCGAGGTCAAGATCGCGGTATACCACAGTGGATTGACCGAACTGATGTCGCCGCTGAACGCTGCAACCGTGGTGACGTGGCTCGTTCCGGGAGCCGCTTGCCGATGGACTGTGATTACCTTCGCCAATACCACTGCGTGTGGACTCCCTTCGATTCGAAACGCGGTGGCGGCACACACACCCACGTCACAGAAGAACTGCGCCAATCGTCGAAGATCCGTACAAAGTCGTGGATGACGAACTTGTCGAATCTCCGAAATGTGGCCATGTGGTTGCAACAGCTGCTCGTCAAAAGCCCGCTCAGTGATGAAACTCATGGAAAGGTCAGAGAGGAAGATGAAGGATAGAAGGGAGAGAGCGGAGAGAGAGTTAGATCGTCGTCGTTCTCCTCGCTTTCCGAGGAGGAAGAGGGAGGAAGATCAGAGGGAGGAAGAGGACGGAGGGAGGAGGTTTGCCGGACGATGGGGACAGAGCTATGGCTGGTACTAGCCTCAGGCGCGGTGTGCACCATGCTGGCGCCATTAGGACCGAGCTCGACAATGCGAAAGCAGCCAAAGAATTTGGGAGCGAGTTTTCGGTCGCGTGCACATTTACGTACCGGCACTAGGTCCCCTAATTTATATTGATGCTGGGTCCCAGCATTTCCATTCCGAGCCTCGTAGCTATGAACCTGCCTACCGTGGGCCAGATCGGTCATTCTTTGTCTTTTTCGGGCTAGCTTCGGGACGGCCCGCTCCATGAATTCGGTGTACCTTTTGGCCTTGGCCTTGAGGGCTGCACGCGTGTCTCTACCCTCTGCTTCGGCAATTTTCGAGTTACCCCAGTAGTCGACACAGGGGAGGCTATTAGCACGAAGATGAAAAGGGGTGAACCCCGTGGACTCATGAGGGGTTGCCCGGTGGATCCCGACGATCTGATATACGACCTCGGTCCACGGACGCGTGTCGTGTGCCGCTAAATTCCTGCGAAGGGCGGTTTTAATCATGCGGTTGGCGTTTTCAGCCAGCCCGTTCGACTGAGACACGTGTGGGGCCGTATGTCAGAGCGTGACGCCCCTTCACGCAAGCAGTTCTTCTACTTCTCCCTTAAATTCGGAGTCATTGTTGGTTATGATTTCTTCCGTATCTAGGTGGGTGTAGAGGAACCGATCGATGTATGTGGCTATTTTTGCGGCCTTGCGGGTCTTACATGGATAGACCTCGATGTACTTGGAAAAATGGTCAATTGATACTAACAGGATAAAATATCCGTAGCGGTTTGGGCCAGGTGGCACGTCGATATCTGTTGTTTCCATACTGACTCGCTGGAAGGGACACTCTACTTCCGTTGGTACTATTGCGTTTGGTCCCCGTATTGGGGCGTGATCAGCGGCACAGACCAGACAGTTGGCGACAATGTATCTGACATCATCTCGTATGTTGGACCAGAACCACAACAGAAAAATTCCCACGAGAAATGAAAGTTGAAAAATATTCCATTAAAAAAAAAATCCTTCATATATATAAATTATCATTCCAATGTTTGTCTAATTCTAAAATTTTTAGTTTTTTTTTATAAGCTCCCGTCTAAATATGAGTTTTCCCTTCCAACTACATCTATTTGTTCAAGATGTAATGAAAGTCCGGACGAGTTTATGAAATGTTTTAATTAAATTTTCGTTCTACTACAATAAATATCTTCTAATTTAGTTCGCATTAACCTATTTATGACTGAAAATCCTTACTTAAAATGACAGTCCAATTAAAATATTTCATGAACTCATCCAGACTTTCATTCCATCTCTAGCACGCAGTCCAAATAAAAAGGGATACCCTATTCTTGGAATGAAAGTTTACGAGTAAGATGAAAAAATTTAAAATTGGAATGACATTTTTTAAGATGGAATAAAAATTTGAAATTTAGATTGTAATTTTACTATAGAATGATTATTTAATTCTGGGAAATTTTTCCGTTGCATTGGTTCTGGTCTATAGTTGCCTCCGTGACACGTATCGCGAAATGAGCGGCCTGTTTTTCGTGAGCCAATCGGATCCAATCATATCTCTGGAATGGATGGGGAACCGTCAACCACGAACCCGATCTGCCAGTTTTACGCTTCTCCAAATGACCGTTGATCCACTGATATCCCGAGATCTCTCCGTTGCCCGTCGCCTGTCATGTTTGGTGAGGTGACCCAATGATAATCTCGCTAATTTCGCCAAAAAAAAATTATCGGTCCAAACCTCTGCTCGTCGGTATTTTTCGTCGTATTCAAGGTCGTCCGTATGGGCGGCCTTGAATCGAACCTCCGTGGGGAGTTTGTTCGTTCTACACAGGGGGCACCTCCATTCCTTGCTACTCGTCCGATATCGAACGCAGGCCCCGTGCGCACGATTGACACACGTGGCACATTCTACCCAATCGACAAACCCGGTTTCGAAAGGATGACAGTCGACCCCATAAACCCGTGCAATACACGTGCAAATATAGCAAAATTTATTTGGGAGGGTGGCAAAGAAAGCGGAGGAGGTAAGAGGGGCAGAATTAGTAGGAGAAGAAGGGGTTGCGGAGACAGGTGGGGTAGTCATGATGACGGAGGAGGAGAGACGGGACTGAACGGTGGAGAGGGTAGAACAGACAAAGTGGTCCACGTGTCACTTACTGCTTTGACAACATCTCCACTTGGCCGTAACGAGGTCCAACCTCCTTTTCGGGTTCGTTCCACGGAATCACCTCCTCACTCTTCGGAACCTTCTCGGGCCGGTGCAATCGTGTCAGTCCGTCCGCATTCCCGTGTCTCTCATGCTTTCGATGACGAATGTCAAAGTCCATGCTCTGCAGCACTGTTGCCCATCGCCCGATCATGCCAGAGTAATCCTTCAATTTCTTCAGAGCCAACAGGGGCTCATGATCGGTTACCAAGGTGAACTTTCGCCCGTACAGGTAAGCGCGAAAGTGACTGATTCCCCAGAGCGCCGCGTAGCATTATCCTGTCGGAGCGGCGTAGTTGCCCTTGCAAGTGGGCACTGATTTGGACGCATACTCCACCACATTCTCGAGCCCGCCTGGTCCCTCCTGTGCCAGGATCGCCGAAATTGCCTCGGGCTGCCACTGGTAATGAGGATGGAAGGCTTTTCGGGATCCGGCCTTATAAGGACCGGAACCGAAATGAGAGCGACCTTGAGTTTCGAAAATGCCTGGTCACACTTCGGCGTGCAAATCAACGGTTGATCCTTTGGCAGCAGATTCGTGAGGGGTCCCGCGATCGCCGCGAAGCCCTTGATAAATCTTCGGTAGTACGAGGCCAGGCCCAAAAAGGCGCGAACTTGCGTGATAGTCGTAGGCACCGGCGCATCCCTGACAGCTGCCACCTTCTGCGGCTCCGGTTGGAGTCTGTGGTCTCTTACCACGTGTCCCAGAAAGGAGATGGTGGTAAGGAAAAACAGACACTTCTCAAACGCCACCTTGAAACCCGCATCTCATAACGCATGCAGCGCCCATTCGATGTGCTGCACGTGTCCCTCGTAGGAACTTGAATACAAAATGTCATCCATGTACACAATCACGCAGTGGTTAATGATGCTCTATGCCAAACGTGTCTTCCGCACGAAGTTCTGGAAAGCCATATTCATGCCTCGCTGAAAGGTCGCGGGGGCGTTGCAGATACCCATCAGACATCGAATCCACTGCCACATACCTTCGAAAAGCACAAACGCCGTTTTCGAACGATCTTCTTCTCGGACAAGAAGGTGATGGAACCCATGACGAACATCAAACTTACTGAAAAATCGAGCACTCCCAATCGCATCCAACAACTCATCAATCCGGGGGAGGGGGTACACATCTTTGATCGTGATATCATTCAACTTCCGGTAATCAATGCAAATGTGAATCCCTCCGGCTTTTTTGGGCACAAATACCACGGGAAAAGATCATGGACCTATTGAGGGTTCGATCCATCCATTGGCTTCAAACTCTTTAATCCGCTGGAAAGCGGCCGCTCTTTGAGCTGGGGAGTATCGGTAAGGAACGCAGCTAATGGGCGGATGATCTTCCGTGAGGATGGCATGCTCAATCGCATTAGTTAAGCCGATATCATTATTATGCACGCTCAGCACCTCTGCATAACCGTTCAAAACATTCATTAATGACTTTCGAATTTCCGTATGGATATGGCTCGGTAGGGTGATCGTTGATTCCCCAGGAGTCTCAAGGGGTATGTCGATCCAATCAACCGACCGTTCCCGCCGATCGTAGACACTCGAAAAGACGGAACTACTGGTGCGAACAGAGAAGACAGTTGCTATCATCTGAGACTTAGCGGGGCTGATCATTTCGGTTTCTTTGGTTTCGGCGTCAGCCTCTGAACCAACCGAAGTTGGTTCCACAGTTAGTCCCGTTAGATCCGTCATCTCTTCCATCAGATCAGGCACATCACCTACCGGTGCTTCTGCTTCCTGTTTAATCAAAGCGATGGTTGCTCCTGTCGTTATTCGTGATCTGGGCGGAAAAACAAACACGTCTAAGTACTGTTCGTTTGTTGATAACGCGTTCATAAGGAAAGTGCTCCCTCATACAAGGTGCGAGGGGGTTCCAAGTCATTGGCCAGGTCGGATACTTGCAATATGGGTTCCCGGAGGAGGACGGAAGGACTGATTTGGGTTGTCAGAGGCGCGAGCACGTTGTCTTCTAAATCCACGTGGAAGCTTCGGGCAGTGTCGGGGCACACTCGAAATTCTTTGGGAACTTCGTGTTCGAAAAGTTCGACTAGGTGCTCCCATTCATCCTCACTAGGGAGATCTTCTTCGTATTCCTGTTCCCCGATTTCGCTACCGATGTCCGAGGAAGAGTACTCATCGGGATCAATGCATCAAATCATCCCTATTTGGGCTGAGTTGGGAGTTCGTTTTATCGTTCGGGTGGAGATTCGCAAGGGAACAGTTTGAGGCTTTCCCCCAGTTTGCGTGAGCACCAGTTGTTTTGAATCGAAATGCAAACGTGCGTCCACCGTCATCACCCAAGGTAATCCTAATAGTACGGAATAGGAGCGCACATCGAGTGCGTTAACGAGGACGTGTACCCGTCCAACTTTTACAGCCACATTCTCAATAACGTCCACGATGTTCATTGCTTCCTCGTCGGCAGAGACATAATTGTCTTTGCCAGATTGAGGAAGAATGGATCCGAGTCGTCCCGTCTTCCTAACAGTGTTTAATGAGATAGCTACTGCAGAAGACCCTGTATCGATAAGGGCGTTAAACGACTTGCCCAAAACTTCGCAATCACATTCCGCGCTTTTCCACAGTACCGGTTGAGCTTGTACAAAGTGATCCTTCTCTGCTAGAGAGATCGCTGCTATACGTGCGGCTTCGGGTTTGGGCGGTGCAACTTCATTGCCTCCTTCCTTCATTTTTAACATTCGTTGTATGCGCTGATAGGTGAAGCGCTTTTGATTTTTCTGGCAATGTTGCAAAAGTTTATCATTGGCCGCTTCAGATATGGTGAGAAGATGTCCCACCGGGATCGGAACACGGATATCCAGTTGCTTAAGCGCTCTCAATACATCAATTTCTCTCGTCGAAACTGCGGACCAGGATTGGATTCGCGATCGACCCATTCGAGATCATCAAGGGCCGATCGGATCGCTCCGACCATGCCTGCGAGATGAAGATACTCAAGTGGATCGACCACGTCAGCAGCGTCAGAGGAAGAAACTCTCGATGTCGATGCCATTGCCATCGAGGGGGAAGGCGGTTCTGGGGTATATGCCACGAGCTCCCTTTCTTGGGCCATATCCATCAATGCGGCTACTCGTCCTTGATTCAGGGCCACAAAGGCCGCAGCAGGTGGGGGCTGATTACGCTTTGGCTATGGACAGTCTCGTGCGAAATGTTCGGGCTGTTTGCAGTTGAAACACTCGATATTTCCGGCTGGATTAACTGGGTGAGGGAACTGAGGTGTGTATCCTGGTTTAGGCGGGGCTGGCAAGAGCGGAAATGACGTGGGGGCAGGCCGAGCAGGGGCCGGATTAGGCTTAATTAACCTGCTCATTATCTGTTTGATCCGCTCCATGTGAGCGGCCTGCATTTGGATCAAGTTGCTCATCCATTCGGACTGCTTGGTAGTGGTCGTATGGATCATTTAAGCAAGATTTAAGTTGGTTACGGCCGGCGAGGGGAGTTCATGGGAGATTCTGCTCTTAACTGCCGCTATTGGTTGATTCACCGGGGAAGAGGAAAAAAAAACAGGCGGGATATCGGAAGCGATCCCGTCGGGAAGGTCATGGTCGGGGCGGGGATAAAACCGTTCTACCCCCGCAACCACGATCGCCTTTTAGCCGCTACATCCTGTATGGTGTCCGTAATACCTTCATCTCCCTGACTGATATATTTTTTTGTATCAGCCGGGTCTAATTCCAACGCTTTAGCGATGATAGCGGACGGATAGTTGGTGTGTCTTTGGCGGGACCTTTTTCTGTAACTTTCGTTTCAACGTCGGACTTCGTAGGTGATCGATGAACAAGTCTCGAGCGGATTTCTCGTCTCGCCCAGATTTGTCCAACGTGGTTTGAAATCGGTCCACGAAATCGGAAAGCAATTCCCCTGGTCCTTGTGACCGAGTTTTGAGTACGTACCAGGCTGCATCTTCACTGACCGTATCGAATCGAGCCAAGAAGGTTTGTTTGAAAGTATTCCAATCTACCCATGTATGCTTTCTAAACCACTCATGCGACGTATTACGAAATAGCAAGGTAAGAACGTGGGGAAGATCACCTGCGCTATAACCTTGAGTTTCAACGGCTTCCAGCCAAGCTTCGGGGTGGGTATGGTTAGGGAAGAAGGGGAAGGGGGCAGGAATGCTAACGATCACCCTATTACTGTCTACCATTGGTATAGTCGGTATAGCCGCACCAGATATTGATCTGGTTACTGGACGATCTCGGCGAGCGGGCGGGGGACTTCTTCTGCCTCTCGCCAGTTCGACTCACTATCATTAGAACCGACACTTGTCGGCTCCAATACCAACCTCACGCCCTGTACTGTCTTTCGTTCGGAGTACTAGATGTGCGAAAAGGGGCCCAAAAAAACAGCAAGATGGGGTGTGCCAAGGATTTTTGGAAATTGAGTGTGGGGACACAGACGGAACTGAAATCCCCCGTGTTGGCCTGATGAAGTAAGTCGATCGTTTTTCGCACGGCGCTAATTGCGCGCGAGAAAGTTTGGCGCGAGAGGAGAGAAAAATACAAATTCAATCCAGAAAATATTGTCGGACTTCTTACCTGGCTACGGCCCGTCGTTTAGAACAGAAAGGTTTTGGCACGCTTCACGTGTCTCGTTTCCGTATTAAGTCCTGTCGTCGTTCACTAACCACTTCGGAATCCGACGTGGATGGTCTTAGTCGTGTGGCTCTTTCTCTATGTTCGTCCTCACTCCGCACACGGTAGTGGAAACCCCTGGTTTCGTAGCGCTCAAAGCGCCGGCATTCGGTGCATAAAATGCGCGGCCAGTGGGGCTCTACTGCTGTCCACGAGATGACTATCAACTCGTTGAATGGCAACAATATCGAGTAGGGAGGGAAGTGTGTATCAATAATGACAAACCCAGCCTCTACGAACCCTGAACAACGGTTTGCCAGAGGAAAGTAGTATCGTCCGCCGATCTGCGCGACAGCTTCTCGAACGTCCCACTCGCATACACGTGTCCTTTCCTCGTTGTAGGGAAAAGGTCGTGTTGATACGGGAGGAACGGGAGGCTGACGCCCGATCGAAGGGTGCTTGTCAGTCCACATGTCAATCAATTGCAAAAATTCCGAGACGTCATTAAGGGAAAACACTCGCGCAATCACTAATCAATCCTTTTCGTCACCGTCGTCACGAGAGAGAGAGAGAAAACACTCATTAGCTCGATCATGCATGTTACCGAGGGCAACAGAAAAAAACCTGTGTTAATTTTCAGGTTGGAGCAACGTT